GTACCCCTGTGAAAGTGAAAAAACAGCTAAGCTATCGAAGTATTGTTTCTGATGTATTTAATGGCACTCTGCTTAGCTCTGTTCAATGTTTGACCTGTAACAGGGTATGATAGATTTTCTTTGCAATTTATCCACTACTCTTAAATTTTACTTGATTAAACCTAGTTACTATATCAAAAAACAACACCAATCAGTAGCCAAAAAAATTACGAAGAAAATTCTCCTTTATAGTACTTTATATTTCACTCAACAAATATGTTTGGTTTAAAAAGAAATTTAGTTATTGCGATGTTATAATGTTCCCTGATGAGAAGTATTAATTATTTTAATAAGGTATTAAAAGCTCATGAATACCCACTTGTTTTCCACTTGAACTGTGAGATAATTGGTACACAAAATCGAGAAAAACTGTGGTCTACTAAAATATTGGGCAATTTGACCAATATAACCATCTTATTTTGGCATGTTTGGGACGAAGGTTACACTGAATGACCCAATTTTTATAGGACATCTTTTTTTTTGTTACCAAATTATCTTAACAATATAAGTGGAAAGCATATGAATGTTCATAAGTTTTTAGTTCTTTATTAAATTGTCAAAACACCCCGTTTCTTAGAATTTTCGTAAATAAAAAGTTTTAAGTTATAATAAAATGAAGCCATTCACAAATTTTAGACAATGTTGTTAATTTGATAAAAAGTGGTCTGGTCCTTGGACTGTAATTATTTTTCATATGTTTATTGAATAATCTTATACATACATAACCCACACTTTCAGCACTTATTATTGAAGTATTCTGTGTGATCTGCACTTTCATCATCAATTTTGAAACTTGGATATTCCTTGTTCATAAAAAGTTTGTCAAAATATTAATATTGATTAAATTCTTCACCTTATATAGTTCATCGTTGAGAAATAGGAGAATGAAAAGAGACTTTTATTTACTTATAACTCAAGTATTGATTTTAAAGTAAATTGGTAAATGCTTTCTTTGATTGTTTGAAAGGTTATTTTTTTACTTCTCTACAAAACAAAAAATTATCATATAAATGAGATCAGTGCTAACGATGATCACTCTAAGATCTTATACTTATAGTATGGATGACCGAGTTGATGCCATCTGATTAGACCAAGTCATTAATATGTCCAGTCAATAAAAAGGGTGACTGACTTATATGTAGCAATTATAGAGAAATCTCTCTACTCTAATCTGGCTATAAAATATTCTCAAATATTTCTTTTCACCATCTTCTGCCATATCCAGAACAAGAACTTGGGCCTTACCAATGTGGTTTCAGGAAGGGTAAGTTTACTATCGACCAGATATTCAGCCTATGGACAATCCTTGAGGGGGCAGTGAATACAGTATGAAAACCCACCACCTGTTCATCAATTTCAAAGTATTCAAATCCCTAAAATAAGCTCATACACATGATTGAATTAACTATGGAAGGTATGAGAAGTGTAGTTCTGATAAACGGAGACCACTCTGAAACATTTGCTGCAAAAAAAGGACCTCTTCAGTGTAATTCATTGGCCTGTCTTCTGTTTAATTTAGCCCTGGAATATGCAGTGAGGCAAGCAAAAATACGGGTTGGTGGAACTAGACCTGGGCAGAATTTATTTGAAAAATATTCCCGGAATAAATCCCTAAATAAACCTCGATAGTTATTTCCGAAATAATTTATTTCATGAAATAACCTGACCATTATTTCCGAAATGATTATTTCGGGAATTAATTATTTCAGGAATAACGATATCTGAAATGATTATTTCAGGAATAATGTGAAATATGAAATAATCATTCCGATCGACTTTTAGATATAATCAATATCCGGGTCGACTGTTATGTTTTCGGGTTAGCTTATTATGAAAATACGGTCGAATTTGAGATTGCGCCACCCCCTCCCCGCCCCCCATCGACTTTTGGTAACTTTTCAGATATAATCGATATCAGGGTCGACTATTATGTTTACGGGGGCGCTAGTTATAAAAATACTGTCGAATTTGATATTGCACCACCCCCTCCCCACCCCCCATCGACTTTTTGTAACTTTTCTGAAATAATCGATATCAGGGTCGACTTTTATGTTTTCGGGGGCGCTTTTTATGAAAATACTGTCGAATTTAATATTGCACCACGCCCTCCCCACCCCCCATCGACTTTTTGTAACTTTTCAGATATAATCGATATCAGGGTCGACTATTATGTTTACGGGGGCGCTAGTTATAAAGATAATGTCAAATTTGAGATTGCGCCCCCCCCACCCTCTCACATCAACTTTTTGTAACTTTTCAGATATAATCGATATCAGGGTCGACTATTATGTTTACGGGGGCGCTAGTTATAAAAATAATGTCAAATTTGAGATTGCACCACCCCCTCCCCACCCCCCATCGACTTTTTGTAACTTTTCAGATATAATCGATATCAGGGTCGACTTTTATGTTTTCGGGGGCGCTTTTTATGAAAATACTGTCGAATTTGATATTGCACCAACCCCTCCCCACCCCCCATCGACTTTTTGTAACTTTTCAGGTATAATCGATATCAGGGTCGACTATTATGTTTTCGGGGTAGCTTATTATGAAAATATGGTCTAATTTGAGATTGCGCCCCCTCCTGCCCCCCCCAATCGACTTTTAGTAACCTTTCGGATTTAATTGATATCAGGGTCGCCTATTATGTTTTCGGGGTAGCTTATTACTAAAATTCGGTCGAATTTGAGATTGCGCCTCCTCCCCCCAATCGACTTTTAGTGACTTATCCGATGTAATCGATATCAGGGTGGTCTTTTATTTTTTTGGGATATCTTTTTCAAATTCTACCGTATTTTCATAAAAAGCGCCCCCGAAAACATAAAAGTCGACCCTGATATCGATTATATCTGAAAAGTTACAAAAAGTCGATGGGGGTGGGGAGGGGGTGGTGCAATATCAAATTCGACAGTATTTTCATAAAAAGCGCCCCCGAAAACATAAAAGTCGACCCTGATATCGATTATATCTGAAAAGTTACAAAAAGTCGATGGGGGGTGGGGAGGGGGTGGTGCAATATCAAATTCGACAGTATTTTCATAAAAAGCGCCCCCGAAAACATAAAAGTCGACCCTGATATCGATTATATCTGAAAAGTTACAAAAAGTCGATGGGGGGTGGGGAGGGGGTGGTGCAATATCAAATTCGACAGTATTTTCATAAAAAGCGCCCCCGAAAACATAAAAGTCGACCCTGATATCGATTATATCTGAAAAGTTACAAAAAGTCGATGGGGGGTGGGGAGGGGGTGGTGCAATATCAAATTCGACATTATTTTTATAATTAGCCCCCCCGAAGACATAATATTCGACCCTGATATCGATTATTTCAGAAAAGTTACAAAAAGTTGATGTGAGAGGGTGGGGGGGGGGCGCAATCTCAAATTCGACCGTATTTTCATAAAAAGCGCCCCCGAAAACATAATAGTCGACCCTGATATGGATAAAATCCGAAAAGTTACAAAAAGTTGATGGGGGGTGGGGAGGGGGTGGCGCAATCTCAAATTCGACAGTATTTTCATAAAAAGCGCCCCCGAAAACATGGTGCATATTGGTAATTTTTTTATGTTATTTCAGAACAACGTTATTTCTGAAATATTTATTTCTTGATTTTATACAATAATTTATTTATGAAATAAATAATCCTGAAATAATAGTTATGAAATAATTTATTTCAGAAATAATTCATTTCGAAATAATTTACATTATTCCAAAGAATGTTCAAATAGTGAAATAATTATTTCAGAAATAAATTCAGAGTTAGTCCATCGAGATTATTTCGTTGACTGTTTGAAATATTATTTCAGAAATAACCGTTATTCCCGAAATAATTCATTCGTGGAATAACCATGTGAATTATTTCAGAAATAAATTATTTCAAGAGTGCCCAGGTCTAGGTGGAACAATATTTAATAAATCTATTCAACTCCTAGCTTATGGAGACAATGTTAACATAACTGGACATTCAACAAGAAATGTCACATAAGTATTCCTGGCATTGATTGGACCAGCAAATAGACTTGGCCTAAAAGTCAACGAAGCAAAGACCACGTACCTGGTGACGGAAAAAACTACAAACCTAGAAACATTGTGAACATAAAATTTCAATCAAGTGACGGAGTTTACTTATTTAGGGTCATTAGTAACAAGTGACATAATATAGCAGCTAAAATTAAAAAAAGAACAGTAAATGCCTACTGCTGCTACTTCAGCTTGCGCTAGGAGTTTTGTAGTTGCCTTCTATCTAGATAAATCTTGGTCCAGCTTTACCAAACCTTGATAGGACCAGTTCTTCTCTGTGGTTATGCGACATGGACACTCACTAAAAATGACAAGTGGGACCTTCTAATATTCAAAAGGAAGATCCTTTTTCTTTTTCCATATACCTTTCAGTGTGGAGGAGCCTCAATCCATCTGATCCACTCTTGCCTATCTTGTGCGAGCTGCTTCATTTGGGCAAGATTTTTCCCTCTTTTTTCCTTCCAGCTTGCAAATTTGTTCATTATACGTAATTTTAAGTCTTCCTGACGGTCTTGTCCCTGGAAGTCTGGCCTCCAACACCTTCCATGGGTCTCGGTCCAGATTTATCCTGCTTATATGACCAAACCACTGCAACTGGTGTTTGTGTAAGGTATCTTTTCATTCAGGGATTTCTAAGTCTTCTCTTTTTCTTCCATTCCTTACACAGTATCTTTTTGTTTTACCTGCTACTCTGCACAAGTATTTCATCTCAACTACGGTAATTGGTTAATATTTTTGTCATTTGTGAGCTAAGTCCCACTTCCGTAAATTAGGGCAGGGAGAAACACGGCTTTAAAAATATGGATTTCAACTTGGTTACTCACTTCTCATTTGCCTTTTTTATTCTATTTGAAATTTCTTAGTTTATCCTTGCCGTATCGCTAATTACTCTTCCCAAGTAGGTATAATTGTTAGTAGTTTCCAATTGTTACTCCGTTACAGTAAAATTGCTCATTTCTTGTTTCGTCCCTGGATACAATGAGTACTTTGCTCTTGGAAGTATTGATCTTCATGCCCTTACGCAAAAGCTCCTCCTGCTACTCAGT